CTGTGAGTGACGTCACCTCCCAACACAAACACGCCCCCTAGTATAGCCCCGCCCCCTCACATTGATTGGCAGCTTTCCATGCAGACATCGGAAATTCAAATGCAAAAGGAATTGCAATTCCATTTGAGTCGCGCAGGTTACATGCGCGACGCAGCGAGAGTGAAAAAGCAGACGTGGTATTTAATATTGCTATTTAAATATGACAGGCTCGTAACTGCTAAGACATGGGAAATACAGTTGCAAATGGACTTTGCTTTTTCATTTGAAATTTGGCAGTCACTGTGCGTTCGCGAAAGCGAAAATGCAAACGCTAATGCAGGATTTGCAATTGCATTTGGATTATGTCACAATTTATGCGTCCACATATTGAAAACGCAATTGAAAATACAATTTGCTATTCTATTTGAAAATTGTCCGGAATATCGTTCCATACATAATCCTTTATGGATTACAATCCGCCATCAAAATGATACATTTAATTATTCTGGAGAAAAGGCTATAAACGATCCGCCACCTGCAGGATCCTCACATGCGATAGCCTAGTAGCCGGGACAACTTCTTTATGTTTACAGAAGTGACGTACTGATGCAGTGCCATGCTCGAATTTCCCGCAAAAACCTACCCATACCACTCAAATTAGAAAACATTATTATAAGATAACCGTTGTGAATCGGGCTAAAGTAAGGCAATAGTTTTGAACACTGGCTGGTTATGTACTTGCTCAAATATTGATTTCGGATCATTTTTAACCAAAAAAAGTTATGGACTGCAGCTTTAAATAAATAAGAATATACTGTATATATTACCTTATTATATATATTATCTTAAGGTCGAAGTCTTCAGTAAAGAAATGCACCGTAACACTGTTACTGCTCGAGTAATTTCAATGTGCCATTTTGAAGTACGTTCATTATATACGCTTTCAAACATTTCTGCGTGCAGCGTGCCAGGTTTTCACAACAAAACCCGCCCAATTGCTACTCAAAACTAGCCCAATCGCGTTTCGAGGGGGGTTCCACCGGTAAAAATCGCATTCCTGGGGGTAAAATACACGTTTTTTGGAGGGGTTCCCCAAACCGTGGACTTGGCAACACTGTAGCATGCCAACTTGATGCTTCCTCTGAAGACTGTTTAGATGTGTTCGACTTGAAGCAGCGCTGCAAGATCGATCGGTGTGTGTCATCAAAGTACCGCGAGAGCTATAAGAGATTATTATAATTATAATAATAATATCATTTATATTTTTATTTAGTTTAGTTGTTGTCATTCTTATTATTGTTACGTGACACAAAAAGTTCCATGAACCATGTTAGTGAATAACAGCCCATTTAATAAAATAAACTTAACGAGAAACAAATGAGCGTTTTGGCAGGTGTTCATTGTCCGTGTTCTTTGGTGACAGTTGTAGATGTTAATTAGTTTTCTGGGTAAGTCAGTCTGGACTTTTGCTCAACAGGATCAAATTGAAACCCGTGCTTCCATGAACAAAACAGCAACGTAATAACGGAACTGACTTGAAGCCAGTTTAAGCTGCAGGGCTATTGAAATTCTTAAAAAAAAATCATGATAGAGTTTGAAGATATCTAAAAACCTTTACATGATATCTAAAAACCTGAACACAGCTCTGACCTTGATTTTTTAATTGTTAATGGTCCAACTGGACAAAAACACCTCAAAGAGAGGACTAAACAATCAGCTGACCCTGATTTTGAAGTCACACAGTAATAGTGTAAGCAGAAGAAGTAGCTCATTCCTTGAAGTCCTCTGTGTGTGTGTGTGTGTGTGTCTGCCCCCGTGGAGTTTGTAGGGGTGTAAGGTGGGTGCGTCCCCAGTGTAACTCTCAGAATGACTCTCAGAAAGAGGGGAATTCAAACAACACAAACTCATATAGTAAATGAACACAACTTGCTTTCTTCCGGCAGTTATAACGAACGCCCACAGAAAAGCCCTAGCATGGGTCGGCTCTTGACCTCTGCCACCTTGGAGTATTTCACTCAACCAAGACCAACGTCTTTCAAAGCTGGTAGTGAAAATGCAAAAACGTATATTTCATCAATCCTCGTATTATCTTCTTTGCTGATAAACTATTTATATCCGTTGTCGTGACCTTGCCGTTGCTAGTGCCATACTTTACTGTTTGAACTAGAGGGTTGCACTTGGTACCTATGCAAGGTTATGCATGGCTCAACTGCCCAAATTCATCCCATTTAACAATCTTTTCTTCACCTTTGGCTTCTAGCACGTTACAGACTTTCTAATGGACATAAAGATAACAGTTGGAGGAAGGCAGGAGAAAGCATTTTAGTACGGGGAGCTGCTTGGAAAAAGTTACCACCAGCACTAACATTCATTTTTAAATATGTGGCTGTAATCCTTTAAAACTGCTGGAAAAAAAAAAAAAAAAAAATTTTTAAAGGGTAAGCCACCAACAGACGTAAGAATCTCATACAGAACGACATGAGGGTTATTTTCATATCTGGGAAAAATATCCCTTTAATAATACTATTACATGAGTTTTGTCACAGGTTTCTGTAACAACATCCTGTGCATGGGGTTTTTTTCTTCTTCTTCTAATTATTTTAAAGAGACAGAATACGTAACCTGACATCACATGAAAACAAAGGGCTGTCAAATTTAATTAATCGTGATTAATCGCATCCTAAATAAAAGTTTGTCTTTACATTATATGTGTACTGTGTATATTTATATGTATATATAAATACACACACATACATGTATATATTTAAGAAATGTGTATATATATAATGTATATATATTTAATGATTTATATTACATATTAATATAAATATATTACATATATTTCTTAAGAAATATTTGCATGTGTGTATGTATATATATATATATATATATATATACATACACACATGCAAATATTTCTTAAGAAATATATGTAATATATTTATATTAATATGTAATATAAATCATTAAATATATATACATTATATATATACACATTTCTTAAATATATACATGTATGTGTGTGTATTTATATATAAATATACACCGTACATACACATATATTATGCAAACACAAACTTTTATTTTGGATGCGATTAACCGCGATTAATCGATTTGACAGCCCTAGAAAACATTAATTATTAAGGGTGGAACGATTCGCAGAAAAAAATCGAACCCTACGGTTCTCCACACATGGTTCGGCATGCGCTAGGACCGCGGTTCAACTTAAACCTGACAACGCATCTGTAATATATGGTTTGCTATAATTAACACGTAAAACCAATAGGGTTCGTCTAATATATGTTTCTGTTGATGAATGTGCATTCTGGCTTCCCAATACATTACAACAACCGATGAAAAAAAAAAAAAAAAACGTGGACGGACCATTCACTCTTGTTCAATGCGAATGCCGTATGCTGGAATATGATCAGTCATTTATTCCGTCATCACCCGGGTGCTGATAGCACACGCACACAGGTGAGACCTGAACAGCACACGTTGATATCCATTTAAGCTAAACTCGTTTAAGCTTTGCCAGTTTAAACATTTAAGAGCCAGAGGACGTGAGCTCGCGCGCGCAATGAGAAGATTTGTGCATGCGCTCATCCGAAGCGTGCAAACCCGCGCCTCAGAATGCGCACAAATATTAAGCTTTCTCTGAAGTATTGTGTTTAAACGGACAAATTCACACAAAAATTATGTCAAAAACCGTCTTGAGAAGTATCCTATAATAGCCGGCTGAACGTAGCCTACTGTATCAGTGCACTGGATCAGGGCATTCTCTTAAAGTGACAGCACTTTCTTAATATTAATCAAACAGCAACAACAAAGAAATCACTCACTGCTATTGATTGAATAGCTTTTGTAACTTTAATAAAGATTGATCTTTAATTTATACAGTCAAATGTGCAATGCTGTGATATATATATGTATATATATATATATATAACTGAAAATCACTGTTTATTTTATTTCTATCTTTACTCTATTGTATTGATTTGTGCTGTTGTTTGTAGTTAGATTATTCTTATTTTCTTAATTTTTATTTGACAGTATAGTTTTTGCCTAAATATAGCACTTACCGAACCATACCGAAACCGTGACTCTAATTTACAAAATTCCATCTTATTGACTGCTTAAAGCAAACCTAAAATCCTTTCTGGTAAAATCTTACTAAAGTCCCTGCCTGAGTGTAATTCATGAAAATCGTTTTCTACTTGCATTCATGTGGTAAACAGAAACTCAAGCATGCTTGCCTGACTCACAAGAACTAACAAGATTTTTTCTCATGTCACACAAGTACAGCTGAGCTTCCGTTTACCATATTTGATGTGCTCTATCTATGTGCATTGATCACTTTTTATATGCAAATAAAAGCATAATTTACACCTGTTCATCAGATAAATCAGCCATGTCTCTTCTGAAGTCTTGTATTAAATGGCTCATAATATATGGATTCATTTTACAATGCATTTATGAAATCAAAGGTTTTGAGAGAATGGATTTAAATAGATAGACAAAGCTCTGAGATTTCAATAAAATATCAAAATGTGTGTTTCAAAGATGAAAAAAAAAAGTATTATGGGTTTGGAAAGACATGAGAGTGAGTAAATTATGACAATTTTCATTTTTGGGTGAACTATCGCTAATATTGCAAAACATGACCTAATGTATTTGCTTTTCCATTCATACATAGTTTATGTAAAAATCTTGATTTAAAAAATCCATTAACACATTGTATAAACTACCCAGAAATACACAGACCTGTATATCCAACATATCAAACACAACTTACTTAATCCGTCTAAACGATTCAATTCTTTAAAAAGCACTCTGATTTCTAACTTCAGAATTAATCAGTCATTAATCAGTCTACAGAGTTCATAATTTTTGAGTCACTGACCCTTTTTCTTTAACCACATGAACACGGTATATCAGCCACTGAAAGTGTCATTTCAATGCCTGTCATAGGTTGAGTAGTGAGACATGCTGGTGGGGATGGAGGTGGGCGGGCCAGCTGGAGGTTTCCCCACTCGCAGCGTGGGTTGTCACGAAGGGCTGCTGGGTGGGGGTTTTCTGTGCAATTCATTTATTTGAAATAATACCACACACACACTCTTATTCACTATAAAACCTCTCACTATTCTGACTGACTTCTAAAACAGAACATGGGGAAATTTTCGAGTACCATGTATTGCCGTTTCGATATATAAAATCTTTATCTTATTGTGAAAAGCGTAGGAGAGACTGCACCATTTGAGCATGTCTCCATTTTTACCCCAAAAGTGGTAAAAATCTAGCGCTAGATTCCATTCCACTGAGTGTTTGAGACATACAGATTGCTATAACATGGCACTGACAATACATGTCAGTCTGGCTAAAGCAAATGCTTTTCATTTTTATTTGTAGGAATCCCCATTTCATTGCAACTATAACAGTACCGTAAATCATCTGTGGCATTAAGGCACCATCAAAGCCTTTCATAAAACAGAAAACCTCATCTGCTGATAAAAGACGACATTTAAGTCACAAAATGCAGCTTTTCACTCATGTGTAATTGATAAATGATTAATCAAATCTACACTGTGATAAGCAACTATGATTTGAGACCATCTTGAGACAGAAAAGGTATTTCCCCAAGTAGAGATGCATTTCTCTGTAATCTCAACACTTTGCACTGAGCTGTTATCAACGCAAATCCTCCATGTCTGGAAGAGGCAGAACAATAACAAAAAGAGACGCACAAAGCGGCACTTTCTCTTCAACCAAACCACCAGGCCTTTCAGACAAAGCAAGCAGGTCTTGAATTGGGCTGGAAGCAGCATAGATGTGCGCAGTCATGCAGGCATCTCCGCCAGCAGTTCACTGCTATTGTCTGCTTATCTACTTCCTCCCAGGAGAAACCAAGACCGCCCCTGTTTTGGCTGTGGATTTCTTTCACGCAACCCTGATTTGTCTTTTTCTTTCTTTTCCTATTTCTCATCTCTTCTGTAAATCTCTAGATGTTAAAGATTTGTTTTCCTCTAATGTCTTTTCCTCACATCTCTGATTCCAACCTCCTGTGAGAGATAGGTCTAAACTGCAGACATGTTTTCATCAAATAATATCTGGGTGAATTATTTTCGTCATGTGGATCACCTTCCACACATATGGCAGCAGGAAACAGCTCCTTCAGCAGGTCTCCCAACGTAAGCGTGTGGCCCTCAGGAGACACTGGTCGGAAGAGCTTTTGGATGAACGGTCTGTCACTCATCGTCTAAAATGAGACAAATATGAAACCTGTTAGAATGATTATGGCAGTGCAAAGTTCTCAAAAAAATACAGAATCTGAATTGTGTCACTGAAGAATGTCTATTTACCACAAAAAACAACAACGTATTTTTATGTACAGTTTTCAAGGCATCTGTTTGTATTAGTGATGCTTGGATCATGGTTATATCCACAGATAATCTACAGGTTGGGCGTAATAGCAATAAAAGTATAAAAAATAACATTCTGATTAGTTGCAGGTAGGTCCCGGGTGAATGAGACCAATTATTAATATTGGAAATATGAACTACATTCTCTAACATGTTTAAATGTAATTATTAACTATTGCTGCATAATTATCAAAAGTGGTACTGTAATAAAGTAATTTCACGTCACCATTTCGCTTGTTCTTGACCTAACAGCCTACTCTTCACATAACAGGGCCTGTAGGTGGCACTTGAGCTTCATTTAACCGACTAAAGGCCCGGGTATAATTCACTTTCCGCGTTCCGTTCCGTCTCGCACACAGCTTTCAAAGTATATTCAAGTGTGGACGGACGAGCTCGACACAGGCGCAGTGCCACCTACTTGACTTGCGCTCTGTCTCAACTTTCACCTCGCACATGCGCTGTTGTACGCGGACCGTCCGTGTGGTCTCAAAAAATTGCCTGCACGCGGATGCATCAGTATGCATGCAAGGTATGTAAATAATAGTAAATTAAACACAAGTTTCAATTAATACGACTTCTATTTTAGCCATTTTAGTTTGTTAACAAAAAACTGAAACCAGTGTCTACATAGTTTTCAACCAATGACGAGCAGACGAGTGTGCGCTTAAAATAAACAGACGATATCGTTTGCTGGTGTGGACGCTAATATCGTTATCTTTATAGTTATCGTTCTTGGTGTGAACGGGGCTTAAGACTGGGAAATTACCACTCCACTTCACATTATCAATTGACAATGAAATTTGAGCTTGTTTGAGCAAGCAACCCACAGCAATGCATAATGCCAACAGCATCTCAGTCTGACTGATACAAAAAAATAAACAGGAATGTTCAGATTGTTGAGCAATTCGTTACTGTTTTGTACACATTGTCATATAAAATATAAATCAAATACATTTTGTTTTATTGACCACAATATTATTGTTGGCAATTGTTGAGAGGGGAACTTCACGATTCATTTTGAAAAAGGACAGGGTCTCAAGCTCCCAAAGCACTCTGAGAATTAGAATAATTGTGATGATCAGGTGAGGGTCAGTGCGGATATCTAAATCAGAGATAATCATAGGTTCAGGTGGGTGGATGATTTATTTTTTACAGTGGAATTAGGTGATGTTACAAATGAACGTCGCATCTATAGTTTGTATGTATTTATGCTCTGTATATGCTGAAATTCTGAAACAATAAAAATGTTGATCACAAAAACAAACAAAAAAAACACAATGAAAGACTGAATGATTTTGCTTGATTGCCCAGGTTCCAAAAGTTGTCTTTCTACCAGTTAAAAAACAAACACTAGCCTTACCAATTTGAAAACATTTAATGTTTTCAGGATTTGGGGGGATTAATTATGAGTTAAAATAAATGTATAATAAATGTATAATAGATCAATTCAAAGTCAGCATGCAGTGGAAATTCTGTTGTCTAAATGCACTGATCCTATTGTGAAAAATGTATCCATGCATGTTTTTTTTTAAGCCACCTCTTTATTAAAGTCAACTGCAAGCTAACATTCAGATCTACCTCCAAACAATCAAAAACTCCTTTTTTCAATAATCTGTTTCACTCGGATGTACATTGCTAAATGCGAGAAAAGACAGAAATTTAAATTTAAAAGACTTAAATTCATTTTTTTCTTATTTGCTTTTGTTAAATTGTATTACCTAAATCTTACCAGTATATATCTTACCAATATTGGAAAGCTACACACTCAGATCACCAAACAACAACACCAGCAAAGTCCAGTGATGCAGATATAGCACACCCGAACACAATGACTACACACACCGACCACCTACACTCAAGTGAGTACACTTTTCCTTTGAGCTTTCTCAATTTCCATTTATTTTATATGTTATTTTTAGCCAGTCAGCTTACGAGAAATGGCATCTATGTAATTTCAGGTTACCCACTTTTCACATCCATTACAGAGCGCTAACAGAAAAATAATTCATTTGTTAATTTAGTGGTTAGCAGATGTTTTAAACCCACGCTAGTTGGGTGTAATGTTGTGAATTGCTGAATAAGATATTGAGAGGATTAACAGCCGGCAGTCACGGCATAGTCTTTCCTATGGCCTTGTGCGAGCAGGCAAGGTGTCGAATGCTGGACAGGATCCAGTTTTCAAACACAATTTGCATGTGGTCATTGATGCAGGGTATCATTCTGTAAGATCTGGACCTGTGGTGACAAACAGCGGCCTGACAAACAATAGGAGTCAATCTTGGTGTTGTGAAAAGGAAACTGGTGACACAACGGCTCAGGTAGTCCAGCTGACACTGACACCCTCAGGTCTCAGGAAGAGAAGGTGTCTCAGGATGCTACGATCTCGATCAGGTTACCAGAAAAACTGACTCACTGCTCACTTGCACCAAGATCATCTCCAGAGTCAGAGAAGAGAGAGTGTGAGAAGTGACAGCTACTTCGTTGCATTTTTAAACAGCAGCATTAATTATTGACCCCAGCATTATCCAAAAGGCTCCTGATACTGATGAGAAGTGTGATACTCTGGGTGCCGACACTTTCTTTTCAACTCCCCTGACACCCTAGCTGGCAAACCAGCACATGAACCACACAACAGACATCATTAGCCTTTCTCCAAAAGCAAGAGGTCAGAGAAAAGAGATGCTCTCAGGTCTCAAACTCTACTTCTTTAGAGTATGCAGATAATTATAGGTTCTTTAAGCAATAATTGGACTGTAAAACACAAAGTAAGTCACTCAGGCAAGGCAGTATCCCTGAGCCTTGCCTTAATGAGATGAGTGGTAATAATAAATTAAAACAACCATGTCATTTGAATATTCAAACAATATTAATATAGTCAAAAATATCAAACTGCTGAAACATTTGAATATTAAAATATATATATATATATATATATATATATATATATATATATATATATATATATATATATTCAAACGTGAACATTTTGAACTGTTGAACTGTAAAAAAACTATTCATTCAAATAAAAATTAAAGGTGTTGAATTCAAAAATCTTTTTTAAAGTGTTGAAAATGTCAACCAAAATATCCATCCATCTGTCACTGAAATTCAAATGGTGAACTCAAATAATCAAATAAACATTTAAATGACTATCAATTCAAATATTTAGACAAATGTTTGCACTGTGAATTTTAAACATTTAAACTGTCAATTCAACTATTTAAATACTGAAATTGTCAGTCCAACATTCAAACAGCTGACTGCAGAATTAAAGCAAGGGAATTAGGATATATATATTCAAACGTGAACATTTTGAACTGAAATATTTTAAAAAAACTATTCATTCAAATAAAAATTAAAGGTGTTGAATTCAAAAATCTTTTTTAAAGTGTTGAAAATGTCAACCAAAATATCCATCCATCTGTCACTGAAATTCAAATGGTGAACTCAAATAATCAAATAAACATTTAAATGACTATCAATTCAAATATTTAGACAAATGTTTGCACTGTGAATTTTAAACATTTAAACTGTCAATTCAACTATTTAAATACTGAAATTGTCAGTCCAACATTCAAACAGCTGACTGCAGAATTAAAGCAAGGGAATTAGGTGAATGGAGCATTCTAGGGCAATTAATTTAACTACAATTTAAAGAATTAATTAAAAACTGCTTTGTTTTTAAACATTTGACCAATAGAGCGGTTAGGGAAATCAAAAAGCTACCAAAACTGTATCAATGTGACGATGCATTCCTGCAGTAATAATCTTCATAAATCTAGAAAAGTATTTTATATTTTCATATAAAACAAACATTGATATCGTCATTACTGACAAAAAAAATATTGAACACTGCTGCGATTGGGTTTCTAATATAGCTGCTGAGAGAGTGACTGTAAGTTTGACATGTTCCTCTCTTGTTATGATGACTGCCGTAATTCATCTCTTTCTTTCTTTAATTTTTTTTGTATTTATAAAATAGTATTTTTATGAATGAATGAATGAAGCATTTATATAGCGCTTTTTTGTGTATTGCTGTACACCCAAAGCGCTTTACAATCACATCATCATGGGGTCTATCCTCAACCACCACCAGTGTGCGACGGCAGCCACACACCAGCTACAGGTGAAGAGGAGAGAGAGTCATAGAGCCAATTTAGAGGATGGGGATTATTAGGAGGCCATGATTAACAAGGGCCAGTGGAGGGAATTTGGCCAGTACACCCGAGATACACCCCTACTCTTTACGAGAAGTGCCATTGGATTTTTAATGACCACAGAGAGTCAGGACCTCAGTTTAACGTCTCATCCGAAGGACGGTGCTTTTTACAGTATAGTGTCCCAGTCACTATACTGGTGCATTAAGCGGGATTTATACTTTCGCCTGGCTCCGCTTCGCGAGCCTCCTCTGACTGCGCGCGCACCTTCCCAAATGGACGAGGCTTTTATACTTGTCGCGTTCACAGTTGTACTATTCTTTAAAACAACAGGGGGCGACGAGGAGTAATTGTCCTCTAAAACCATTGGGAAACGACGTTGCCCGCACTCAAAGCGAACTTTCGCCAACACCGCAATGACATCATATTTGTCGCGCGCACCTAATCAAACTTGTGGACGCGTCGTCAGTAGTGGTCGACCGATATTGGTTTTTTGACAGCCGAAGCCGATATCTTGGAAAGCAGGGTGGCCGATGGCCGATATAATTGTATTTGTTTTATTTCATATTTAAGAAATTTGAAATAATTTGAAAATGGATTAAAAAATAAATGTGTAAAATAAACAAGCTATTTATTTAAATGACAAAGTATTTTTCACAAATAAACAAATATTGAATACA